GATTTTTTATTCATCCCAGGAGAGAGGTTGAAGTGGTAGCCAGAGTGTTATCTATCCCTGTAATGACACCAAACTAATGAATGGAAATTAACATCTAAACAAAGGCATCCATCTTGAAGAGGCCCATTGGGTGTGGTTAGATTAGGATTAAGATTAGGTTAGGAGGCCAAACTGCTTAGCCCAGGGGAGCTTATGCCATGGTGCTGAAAAGGACACACTGGCAGAGAATGTGAGTCATGGGATTTTGCCCATCCAGCCAACATGTGCTTGAGGACCTGAATTCAGTAATTATGCTGCATTGTTTGATTGGCACCTCTGGCTGACACATTCACACTAGAAAAGAAAACTAGGGGGCAGATAGGTACATTAGAATGAATCAATTTCAATTTCAGTTTTATTTATAAAGCCCAATATCACAAATCACAATATGCCTCTACAGCCTTTACAGCATACAACATCCCTCTGTCCTTGGACCCTCACACCAGATAAAGAAAAGCTGAATTACAAATCACTTTGCTGATTCAAAAAGCTTGTTCATTAAAAACATAAAAAACACAATAGTAAGTTCAGTATGGCAGCACAGTGGTGTGGTGGTTAGCACTGGCGCTGTACAACAAGAGGGTTCCTGCTTCAATCCCAGGTGTGCGGAGTTTCCATGTTCTCCCCGTGTCCAGGGTATACCCTGCCTCTCGCCCAATGTTAGCTGGGATAGGCTCCAACCCCCCCCCCCCCCCCCCCCCCCCCCCCGACGACCCTCAAGAGGATAAGTGGTTAGAAAATGGATGGATGGATGGATGAAAGTTCAGTATATTGTTGGTTCAAGCAGGTACTTTAAGTCCATTACAAAACTAGGCAATGCAAAAACTGTTTATCAGTAGATCAGCAGCCACCTATTTGTAGAGTCATCACCATTCATTTTGTTTTTTGCAGCCCCTCAGTAGGTTGTAAACCAGGCAATACTGTAGTGTTGATGGCTGAGCTGGCAACAATGCCATCAGTCACCAGTGAGGGGCGCAGTGCAGCTAAAACCGTCTGATTAATTAGTAGTCTGAGTGGGCGGAATTTCGCTGCATAGATCAGCCTCTCATTGGGCGGAACGAACCACCCGCTGAAGTCCCGCCCTACCACCTCTGGTTGTGTAGCAGTTTTCAACACGACCTTTACTAACTTTTGCGGTGTTTGGTCTTGCCATTTTTCTGCCATGGTTCACGTCCTGTAGGCGATATTTTTGTGGGCGTGTTACACCAAAACCTGTTTCCCCCCGGCAATATTTTTGCAAGCGCACCGTTGCTGTGGCACCGCCCAGAACGATTGTGATTGGTTGAAAGAAATACAAGCAGCCGGGGCGTTTTTTTCTCCAATCTTAAAGTGAGAGTCGGCCCAGCCAGATCTTTCTTTTCTTAAGTAAGGTCTGGTGAGCGAGACTAATTAATTAGTGACATGATTCCGTTGTCAGTTCAGTTCGAAGATTCGGTATAGAGTGCCCCAGGAATGAGTCCTAAAAACTCAGAAAGGAGTTGACATTTTAGCACTCTTGGTTCCCTTGTCTCAAAGTCAGAGGGTTTTTTGACTGGGTTTTTTGTTAGATGCTTGAAATAAGGTCTGTTGTTAACACAAGCATGAGAAGTGTTCACGTTCACGTTCAGCTGATACTTGACTTGTGAATTTTTAACCCTTTAGATGTCTCAAAAAAGTGTGCCAACAAGTGGCTAAATAAAACATGGCTTTACAGCCTCATTATGGTGGTGACGTTAAGTCATGCAACAAAGGTGTAGTTTGTTTATAGCCTAACGTTAGCTTTTTACTTCTGGCAATTGCATTTAGGCTTCAAAAATAATAAAAGTGGTGTTCATTTGTGAAGATTATCTTGCTGCACAAAATGGGTAAGTGTAATAAACTTTTTTTTTTCTAAACAGCTTATTTTCTGCAATGATCCAAAATCCAATGGAAGAATTTGATAGGCTTTTTGACAAGGGGACCAGGACGATGCTAGGATCTGCGTTCGGCTAAAACTTCACCCCTGGAGCATACTATTAAGTTAGTACATATGAACTGAACACCTCTAGTAATAAGATTATTAGTGTAGCCAGACCAAAACTTATTCTTTGAGGCCAATTCTAGTATTGCTAATTGTGAGTTTATTAATGTGTTGACAGTAATTTTTATTTGTACATAATCGCACATCGTAATTATGACCAATTTCAAGCAAGAAATTCTACAGTCGAAAAATCAACTTGTCATTGGTCCCTGGTGGACAGTCTATGGAGGGATGACAATAGCTGTTTCCACCTGGTTCTGCATTTCTGTAATGTAATTTCTTGTTACTTTTCAGCCTACATGTACAACAATATAACAATGTTATATTTAGCTAATAATCCAAAACATTGGCCTGCCTGTTTTTTGTTCTGTTTTGTTTTGTTTTGTTAAGATAGGCTGACACAAATGAAACAATGAGATAAAAAATAACATATTTGAAAGCCTTTTGAAATTACTTGTAATAATAGTCATTATAATTTTAAGACAAAAAGGACATTGAATTATAAATAGCTGAATATAATTTCATGATAATTATACTCTCTGCAAATTTAATGTAATATATATATATATATAGGCTATAAAAAAATATATACATATATATATATATATATATATATATATATATATATTTATTTATTTATTTATTTATTTATTTTTTTTGGTGTCATGCGCCACAGAACGTGTTTACGTAGATAGGTCGCGGACGTTTTCAACTGCTGCAGGTCCGTTCATGTTCACTGTCACTTTATGCTCAGCCGTCAATAATTTAACTAGTTGGCATATTTTTATTATTTTGTGAAGTGTTACGTGGAAAGTTGGACCACGCCGAGTGTCCCACAGAACTGTTCCTTCATTCAAGACCATTAACAACACGGTAAGTCTGTTCTGTGTCTGTAACTTGTGTCTGACGTAACTTGTGAAAAGTTGGAAGTGTTAGCTAACCTAGCTAACGTTTGAGGCTAACGTTAGCTTATACAGACTCTACGTTTAGTTGTACTTCTGTTTAAAAGTTGGAATGTTTTCATGGGAAAACATACTTAAAAATGAAAGTACTGCATTGAATTTAAAATAAGTTACACAGTGTACAGTATGAATAGGTGTTTTTAGGGAAGACATTTTGACGTCACAGAAGGCACAACACATGTGTAAATGATGAAACTAATGACGGCTGAATTCCATTTAGCTGCTTTGATTTCAGATTCCTTGTATCCTGCATGTTTGTTCACTGCCACTCTCCCTAGAGCACTTGACTACCACAGAGCCATTGTTAATGTTATTAGTAACACCTGTGCTTTTCTACTATGACAAGTCAAAATTTTTGCTGTGAGAAAGTCATATTTGTCATGCAGGATTGTCCAATTAGGAGTCTCTTTCTCTCTCTCTTCATATATATACACTATATCTATCTATCTATCTATCTATCGCTATATATATATTACAATAAAGTAGTACGGCAGGCTGGCATACTCAGTTTGCATTGCTTGGGGGCCACGGTCACTTTTGCAAAATGACAGGAGGTCCGGGTCCAGTCAGCAGCCCCGCACATGTATGCAAGGGCGTTTCCAGGATTTGAGGACATTTGTCAGGGGATCTGGAGGAGCCTCCCAGGCACATTTTTGATAAACAAGCTATATTTTGATGCTGTTTAATGCACTCTGGCACCTTAAGCTGCTTTCACACTGCTGTGCTGTAACTAGCCACAGTATCCAACATGGCAGTAGGGGTATAAAGCAGTTGCTACCCATGTTAGTTGTCATGTTGTAGTTGTGAGGGCGGTTGCTGTGCAGCAAGGCAGCGTAATGTATATCAAAAGAAAATAAGTTCTCAGTGTGAATCAGTGTATTTTTCCTGTGAATTAGAAAATGGTTTGGGGGGCCACCCAGCACCCTAGTGGGAACCACATTTGGCCCAAGGGCCATAAGTTGAATATCACTGTAGTACGGTTTAGAAATCATATTTTAGAAGCTGATGTAACAAATGTAATTTGTTACTTTATAGGAATTTATTACAGTAAGTTTACATGTTTTTCTTCCCATAGTGTGTTCCACATAAAATTTCAAATAACATTTGAATGAAAAATTCAAATACATTTCTAAACATCTAAACTACATTAAGCATTCTGGACAGCAGGTGGATGAATTTTCAAAATGAACAAAATGTAAACATTTCTTCAACCAGCATGTTTTACGTAAGCCACTATTGGGCTGATATGAGCTTAAATAAACAAATTATTAGCACACAACAAATACAATAATTATAAAAGTAATAACAATAATGTAGGTGCTTTTAAAATTGCCTGTTAGAAAAATGTTTGCAGAGGCATTATTCTCAAATTGATCTTCTCAGATTCAACCTCATAGTTGACCATTTTATTTTCTCCTCAGTGTAACAACAGAGGGAGCCATTGCTTTCTTTGTAAAAACAGTTTTCTTGACAATTGTTGCAACAGCTCTTCTTTGCTGTAGCATCTCTCTAATTCACAATCCTATAGAGGGACCCACCTCCACATCTCTCTCTCACTCTCTCCCTCTCTATCTGTCGCTCCCTCTCTCTTTCTCTTTCTCTCTCTCTCTCTCTCTTTCTCTCTCGAGGAGGGGGAGGAGAGCGAGTGAGTGCAGTAGGAGTTGTGCTCTGCGCTCTATGCCAGCCAGAGGTGTCTTTCGGCTCTACTCTCTGTATCTCTGGGTAGCAGCACCCCACCGTGCAGCCAGCCTGAGTGCCATGTCCAACAGCTGTGTTGGCAGAGGGTTACAGATCATCTGAAGGGGAAAGTAGCACCTTACTTTGAGGAGGACAGAAGAGAAAAGAAGACTGACCAGTTGCAGAGAGAGGGGGGATATAACTGACAGTCCCCCCCCCTCGCCTCACTAAACAGAGCAAAAACGGAAGGCTTTGGAGTATTCAATTTTTTCTTTCGTTTTATATTTTTCTTATTCCTCATCGCGGTGCTGGGAGGTGCTTCATCTTTTCATATAGTCTCTCTCTCCGTCATTTGCCTCCTCATCTATTTCTCCATCTACCTGGTGTATAATTTTTTCTATTTATGAGTGAGAGAAAAGAGGAAGGAGGGAAGAGTTTTGTTTTAATTTTTGACCTCTCTTTCCTCCTCTCCACTCTTCCCTCCCTTTCACCAAACCATATCATACCTGTCAGTCCCTCCTTGCCATTCCATTTCTAGCTGCTGCCATCAGTCCATTATTCCCCATCCTACGCCTCTTTCTGTCTCTAAACTCTGATGTTATATGAACTTGGATGATTTTTCTTCAAAGACAACTAAAAAACTCCTCATGAATGACTCTTTTTTTCCCTTTTCCTTCTCTTTGGTCCCTCCACAACCATTTTCTTTGCATCACACTCTTGCGGGATTCTTAAATGTTACTCTAGGTAGGTTAACTATCGTTTAGTGTCTGTCCATCTGTCTGTCTGTGTGTATTTGTGTGTGCTTTACGTATACATAAAACACACATTAACACACACATGCACTCGCACACTAAACTATGCCTAAAACAACAGTGTTTAGTGGGTTGATATCGGTCTGGTCTGGCACTGTTTTCATACCCTTCTCATCTGTTCTTCTCATCATGGCAAAGTGCGCCCATTTTTAATCGTTGTCTCTGAGAATTTTTTTTTCATGTGCTCACACGTCTTGTCCCCTTTTCCATCTAATAAATAAATACATTTATTTTGCAACCTGTTGAGGAAAACTTAAGTTTAGACCTGATGGAGAATGAGATTAATCTTTTGACACTTTGGCATATTGGTATGTTTGATTATAATCTGTCAAAGTTGGGTATATATCGTCTTAACGAAATGACACTCTTCTCATGCTATTTATTGAGCTGCATTCAAAGTTCAGTGCTAATGGCCATCTCAAGTCATTAAGAGTGTATCCCATTTCATGCTTGATTTGTGCTTATTTTCATCCTGCCAGTCCATCAGCAGCCATTAGTTCTCATATAACCTGCCCAACACACACATACACACAAACACACACACACAATCCTCAAACCTTAAATATGCGCCTTATCATCATCAAAAATATCTCTCAGAATTGAATCCTCGTGCCTCTGCATGTTTTCAATTTTCCCTTCCTTCGCCATGATTAGTTTTCATCCAGAACTGGCCATTTTTCATCCCTGAAGCTCTTCCCCCTCCACTTGTCTTCATTCTCATCCTCTGTCAGGCAAGAGAGACCGGTTGGCATTAGTTGGATGTTGAACAGTGGATTAAGTGGGTAATGCCTTGTGGTGGATTTGAGGTCTAATGGACGGTGTGCAGGTTGTAAGATAGAGACAGACTGATAGACAGATAAAAATAGATAGCACTTAATATCCAATCTCATCACTACCTTTTTCCTTTCCTCACATTTCCTTCCTTTCTTTACGTTGTTTTTGATGCTTTGTCTCTACTTCTCACTGTCACACCTTTTTGGGAGCGCTGTTTTTAATTACACTGTCAGACTGTAAGTTTTTAGCCTATATATCCATGGACATCAACCTGTGCACTCAAAAATTACGCCCAGTAGCGTAGGCCCACACCAGCCACTTTAGTCTCCCCTTTTTCCTCATTTCTTACGGACTGATTAAGAGGCTTAATAAATACCTCTTTTCTTGATTGTTCTGAGAGTGGGATGTCGTCATGAAGGAATATGAAGGACCACTCGTTTTGCTCTGTCTTTGCTTTTGTGTCTCAACTCTGCTCCTCTGTAAAACATCTCCACTACAGTCTATAAATTATGTGTTACAGAAAAGAGTTAATTAGGTGAGTAGTGAATTAATATAGCACTCACTTCTTCTTTGTAACTGAATGTATGCACATGCATGTAGGTGTGTGCACTGAATGTGTGTGTGTGTGCAAGATTACAGCTTATCGAGCGTGCATGTGCTTGTGTGTGTGTGTGTGTGTGTGTGTGTGTGTGTGCGTGTGTGTGTTTGAATGTCTGCATGATACTGATGGAAATGTATTGTGCATGAACCTTAATCAGCAGGTTCTCTGTGAAGGGAATTTTTATATTTTCCACCACATTTGCTTGTACTGCTAAACCTTTCTTCACCCTGCTGTGACTAATTGGTTGTTTATCAGACCATGCCTTTGATCTTTATCCATTTTCTATATATGTACCGTTATATCTCTAAGAATTTCACGCATTATCACTTCTCTCAATAGTGATTTTGAGCAACAGAGATTTCTCATTCAAGGATGATCTCTAATCCGTGGCAGAAACCGGCTCAAAATACTCTGTCAATTTGGTTAAATCCCTCTTCATCAGCTGACTCACTCAATTAGTCCAGTTCAGTGTGCAGGTGCATGCATTTACATGCATTCATTTTAGCCCTCTTCCTTTCCTTATTGTGCGTTTTAGTTGGTTGAGGTTTGTTAACCAATGCTTTGTTGATGCCCTCCTCCTCCTCTTCCTCCTCCTACTCCTCCTCCTCCTCCATTGCATTTCTTCTTGTTTCCTGCTCCATGGATCTACAACAGATCTCTAAAAATGACTAGATCTCTGGCAATGAATCACAGATCTAATGTGACTCATACACCAGCTTTACTGTATCAGACTCTTCAGCATGACCTTAATGAGTACACTGTACACTATAGATGACATACTAGGCTCCATGTCTCAGAGTGCATCATCATATATGGGATAGCTGATCCAATGCTGTGTGCTTTTCTACAACCAGATGTCTTATTATGTTAATTAAGTAGCTAATCAACTAAATAGCTAATTAATACTGGCATAATTATCCTAAAGATGATTAGACAAAGGGAGAACAAACTCTTACTTGTTTACACATAAACGCAAATTATAAAACATTTCCCCAACTGTATGAATCCAGTCTGTGCAGTATGTTTTACCCATGCTGCAAGCTAATTTTTGTAAATAAGGCGAAAACCCTAACCCCTTGCAACCTAAAATACCAAGTGTCGTAAGACATTAAGTTGTGTGTAAGCATTTAAAATTATCATCAGATCTCTTGACATTGCTCATATGCAAACTTAAAACATAAAAAGGGTGCTACGGCGGCTTCCTCTTAAATATTCTCCATTAACGGAGTGAACAAGTGGGCCCCTGCCCTGGAAGTTTCAAGTTGATTTTAACGCAGCGTCTTTAAGCCCAAACAGTCTAAATGATTTAGGACATCTTTCAAAAGAGTGGTGCGATGTTGCCTCACTGTGAGCACACAGTAGTTTAAAATATAAAGGCTTAAAAGGGCATGCTCACCTCTTGGGTTTCAGGCTAATGAAGGATTTATGTTCAAAAGAGGAGTCATTAAGACTGTGTTAAGATTGTGGAGATCTTTAAATACTGAGCACATCAAGAGCACGCATGGTTCTTGATTTCACATCAAAACATTGCTACCCATAAAGCAAATTAAAAGTTGTACTGAAAAGAGAAATAGGATGAGCTCTAACTGTTAAGTTGGACACACACTTTTGGCATTTTGATGAAGTAAGGAAGTAACATAAGTACACACATTAAAACCTTTGCCTCAGTGAAAAAGTCTCTCTGGAATAACTCCACCTAATAACATTATTCAGCATTTTTTAAAAGCTGTTGATTCATAACCTAGAGAGGGAACTAAACAAGCAAACAAGCCTCATTCAGTTATTTTCTGCTAAGGTTTATTTAAGGAAATACTGTATTATTTTGCATGAGTCAAGCTATCAGTGTCGTTATAATACTACTGTGAGAGTTTGAGATAATGAGAATTTGAAGGAGTCAGAGAGAAAGATGGATTTTTGTAAATAAAATCTGTTGAATGAATAATTCATTACACTGCCAGACAGGATTAAAATTCTACACATGCAGATATCCTCTGACAAATTTCCTAAGGCTAAATTGTGTATACCTACATATCCGACTTCCCCAAAATACACAGATAAACACACACACACACACACACACACACGCATTTCCAGATACAGACATATCCCTGTGAGCATACACATGTTAAAATGACAACCTTGTTAAAGACTTAAAGGGTGAAACAGACAGAACAAACATTACTGTGTCTGACACTATTGATTCATTTTCTCTATTGATTAATTGTTTGGTCTACAACATATCAAGATATAGAGAAAATTATGTGTTACATCATTCTAGAGTCAAAGGTGAATGTCCAACCAACAATCCAAAATCCGAAAACTGAACTGACTGCGGTGAAAAACTAAAAACACCAGCACATATTCACATATGAGATGATGCAATCACAGAAGTTTGAAAAATATTACTTAAATAATTCTAAAAATAGTTGCTGATTAATTTTCTGCTAATCAACTAATCGATTAATCAACTAATAGTTTCAGTTCCATTAGAATCCATTTATACTTTCGTAACATTGAATCGTCACAAATATTTCAAATGTTTTAGCCTTGACTTTTTTTTTTAATTTTTTTTTTTACGTTGGATTAAAGCAGAAATTGATAAACTTTTTTTTTAATCAAGAGAACTAAAAATATCAGTTCCTGAGCAGGCTTTGTTCAGTGGTGTTTGACTTTGTTACATTTGTGTTTTTAGGCCCTGAGTCCGGAATTTTCATAGCCACGCAAAAAACCAAGGATACATTTCATATTTGCATGTTTCGAACATAGCATATCAACGTTTTATATAAGTAGTATATAGGGTTGGGAATCTCTCTGTGATAGACGATTCGATACGTATCTAGATACACGGGTTACGATACGATTCAAAAACGATATATTTTTAATACAGAACGATTCGATACGATTCGATACAGTGTATGAATGATACGATTCGATACGATTCTATGGTTGACATTTGTTGATGTAGACATTAATCATACATTATAAAATAAAGAAGCCAATTCTATAAAAATGACAGTATTACAGTATTTTCAAATTTGTAAAAGACCACATCCCCAAGCATTGTTGCTGTATGGCACTGGCAAAAATAAAATAAAAAGACAAACAACAACAAAATCACATGTCAAATGTATTTATTTTTAGACATGGACCAAAAAAAGTCTTGCTGAATGAACATCATTTTGTTGGATGGGATCAATATAAAAATGAGAAGTTTTAAACTTTAAGTGAAGTGAACTTTAAGTAAAATTTAAGTGTTTTAAACCTACTTGTTGTGTTGTTTTTATGGTATTGTTTGTGTTTTTGTATGTATCTTATATGGACTTGAGTCTGGAATAAAGTTTATTATAACGCTGTACAATATAAACATAAAGCAGGATAAAATAATAACCTGCAATGTAGGGGCAGAATCTGACATCTCCTGTTAATAGTTGATATCATGGACTGTGATGACTAGCAGCTTATCACTGACAGCATGTCAGACTATTTCTCTGTGTTTGCTACACTCTGTTTGTCATTTATAAAAAGATAAATCACTTTTCTATAATACATCACTGATATTTCAGTGGAATAAATTACTTATTGACTTATTCATACTTCAAAAACAGCATCAATAAGTGATTAACATCGGGGGGATCAAAATAAAATAAATAAATAAAATCAAAATCAACCAGCCACCCTCCTCCTCTGACAAGTAAAGAACAGTCCCTAAAGTGTGCTGAGGTTTGTGGAAATGTGAACGGCTCGTTTCTCCTCTGACACGTCACATACCTGAGTGCTGCCAGGGCTTGGCTGGTATTTTTGGGCAGTCATGACACCGACGAAGACTTCTTGGACCTGGAGCCGGGCTTCTCGGTCACCGGCCGGTAAGCCGTTATCATGCGCTGCCGTATTTGACAGGAATATGTATTTCTGTCTGTGTCTGTGACCCCGCGTTCAACCCACAACCGGCAGGATTCACCTTTAGTTTCTGCTGCAGCTTGGCTGCTCCCTGGTTTATCCAACCAGCATTAGCTTCTGTTCCTCATCTCCACCGGTCAAGCTGGCGCTGATGTTTACATCCATTATCGTTGTCAGTAATGCCTGCTACAGAGCATGCCGCCGGGCCGGCTTTCGCGTTGTTTTCGAGATGCAAACTGTTAAAGCCAGTCAACCGATTACTAGTCTCGCGATACCCGAATCCATGACTCTACAATTGATTCATCTAAGGATTCATAGCTGATTCGTATTGACTGAGGAGGCTGCTACCGACATAGCCGTATCTCTCGCTTGTCAAACCGGATATCCGGTCGTATCGGTTAATCGTTCCCAACCCTAGTAGTATATGAGCTTACTTAATCATCGGAAGGGGGTGGTAGATGGCATAGCACCTTGGCGAAATGCCTTCCAAGCTACACTGTTGAAGAACAACAAACAGCAAAATGGGTCATCTTTTACCGACCTATTGCTGTTTTTCCACCAGGGAAAGTGCCAAGAAAAGCGTTTGCTTTTTAATGAACATCATTCTCCAACCGTGATTATGCCAGCAAAACCATTTCTTTCTTTACTCCAAACTCGATCTTTTCTTAACCAAAACCAAGTGGTTTTTGTGCCTCAACTTAAACACACAGTAACCACAATGTTGTTAAAACGTAAAGAAACAAAAAGTTTCAATGTATCTACTACATAATAACGTACAAATGTAACGTAAAGTCTCAACCACACCTGCGTCCTGTGCCTAGAAAGGTCCTGAGCATACCAAAATAAGAAGAAAACAAGGAAATACAGGCAGAGGGCGAAGTCTCTGCAGATAAATACACTCATACATACTTCTCGTGGGTTCATGAGTGATGAATGAGAGGATTTATTTTGAGTGTATACATTTTTTTTTCTTTTAGAAAAGTCCTGCATGGTATCTTTAATATCTATGTTAGCCTACTATCAATAAAGGCACAAATTTTGATCAAAATACACAAATTTAAACATCTAATGTGTCGAACCTTTAGATCATTACCTTTAAGAGAAAAATCATGGAAAAAAGTGTCCTAGTAACACACAATGTAAGCAGATTGCGTGCGAGGGAGGGCCATATTTTAAAATCTGAGAAAGTGAATGAAGTAGTTACAGATAAACATTAGGAGTGGGTGGAAGGAATGAAATCTCCTATCACAGTGTATGTGATTTTAAATCATGCTGTTTACATATACAGTGCGTTGTGATACAGTAAATTGTCTCTAAAAATCAACTGAGAAACCTTTTAAGGACAAAATAAACTGCCAAGAATGTCCATTTTGGGCAAATCTAGCAAATTTAATACCTGACAAATCAAGGTGCTTGGTAGCCAATCAAGCCAATAAGCTATAAAGCTATTGCTCTCATTTTCAACAAGCGCCCCAATATAACCAAAGATATTAAAGAAGGACTTTTTTGATGTGAGCAGTACGGCAAAAAAATCTCTACAACCCACTTTGAGTCAGGACCCATAGTGTCAGAAACACTAGATTAAAACAAGGGTAAAACAAAAGCACTGTGAGCATGTACTATGAAGAAAATAGCACAGCAATATTACTAGGCAACAACGTTCAACACTGTGAAAGGGGGCATGTAGACACAGCGGCTTGACTGAGTTAAGCCTTGACCTCAGAGGCAATTGACTTGTGTACACAGCCTTCACCAACAACACATCCATCCACAGTCTTTCTCCGCCATCTGACTCTGTCCTTCTCCTCTTCTCCCTTTCAGACTGAGGAAGAGGAGAGCGCAGCACAGGCCGGAAAACTGATCATCATGACCGGCTAAGGCAAAGCGAAGGCAAGAAAGCCAAAGAAGAAGAAGGAAGGGAGGGAAGAAGAAGAGGAGTACGTACACACCCACTGCTGCTCATCTCCACGGCAACTGCGTTCACACGCTCACAGACTTCTGGGAGGAGACCTTGGCGAGCTGCATCACCAGCATTGGAGGAAGGGGAATGAGAGTCAGATGGAAAGAGACGAATGAAAGAGCTTCCCTTCATCACTCACCATCTATCACCCTTTAGTTTCTTTTATTGAGTTCACACAACCGCTGACATTTTAAGTTGATGGTCAACTTTTAAAGTCTTCTAAGATCTTAGTCAAAAACACATTTCAACCAGCTTAGATCAGCAGGTTAATCTTTTTTGGCCTCTATATATGTAAAGACATCGTTTCTCAGCGATCAAGTGTCCTTTGTATGTATTATTACGCTTTAAAAACAGTCATCTCCACCCCTCCCACCTCAGCACTCTGATAACACCCAGCATCGTCCACCTCCACCCTCACTCAACCCAAGATCGCTTACCCCTCGCCCTGCAAGACCCGACCTTAGTCTTCTGTGTGTGACTTCATCTGTCTACCATCCCTTCATCCGAGGCTATGAGAGGAGGAGTCGAATCCCAGATCACTCCATCATGCCAGTTCTGAAGAGCAGAGAGGACATCCGGGCTGGCAATGTTCAAGGTAGGCCAGTGATTCCAGTAATTGGATTTTTGTGTCTGTGAGCATTTCCTGAACCTTTTCCTCTGAAATCAGCTTGCTGTGTGTTTCCTGAGGTAAATTTCAGATTAACTTTTGCTTAAAACTTATTGTTTAATGGAATGCTTCAATCGCAATATGGTACATTTGTATATCAATTCCTTGCCCTGTTTTATACTGAATTCACAATGAAAATGTTGTTTTTCTTGCATGCCTCCACAGTGAACTAAGAATCCAAAAACAGAGAAAATTCTTGATGAATTGGAGTAAAATAACAGCAAGACTATATCAAAACATGCGTTTACAAACTCTCGCACAACTCATGGTATAATCCAAGTCTCATTTACCAAGTCATAGGCCAGGTCCTTTGCAAACATACATTTTCGTAAAACCTTACCATTTAAAACCCTTCCACAAAAACAGTCTCACACACGGACGAGTAGCATGCCATGGCAAGTGCGTGCGTTTGAACTGTGCTGGATGGAATGCACAAGCAGAGTTCAAATGCATGTGTTCACCCAGACCCGTTATGCGTATGGATAAGTGGTTTGAATAGTAAGGTTTTACAGAAAATGCATGTGTGTACTGTAAATTTGAAAGAATAAGAGTTGTGTGAGAGTATGTAAACAGATGTTTTGATATAGTTTTGCTGTTGTCAAACTTGGCTTCATTTTTCTTCAATTCATCAAGAATTTTCTCTGTTTTTGGATCCTTGGTTCATCATGGAGCGATGTGAGAAAAACAGTTTTCTTCACAAATTCAACGTAACACAGTGTGAGTAATTGATATACAAATCATTCATTCATTTTGTGGGTTTGAAGTATTCCTTTGGTAATGATCCTAACTTGGTCTATTATTTTCATTATTAATGAATCTATAGATATTTCTGTTGTTATGGTAACAAATAGTGAAAAATGTGAAAAGTCACATTTGCCTGGAGGACAAAACATCTTCTAACGGACTGAACTGGTGGCATTTGGATTTGATTATTGCTAAACAAAATTACATAATATTTTTCTGATAGTTCATTAATTGACAAATTGACTAATCATTTCAGCTGTAGTCCCGACTGCATCCTAAAATCTAAAATATTCAAAATATCCAACTTCTGTGATTGTTTTCTTTCCTGTGTCCTGCTAAAATTTAACCGCAGATATTCATGATAATTACGGGTCATGTAAAATATCAGAGCAGATTAAAATAATGGGTCAAAACACATCTACAGATGTGTCGTGTTACAGTATACGATATTTTGTAATTTGTGATGACACATGGTGCTTCTTGGGATAACAGCCTCAAGGATCTGCCTTGTGGGTTTTTTTCTTGTAAAACTGGGGAATCACTGGGCTTTATTTTTCAAGCTGGCAGCAGCTCACAGCGATTTCACTGTACAGTTTTGTTACAGTGATCCTGCACACCACTTCATAATCATATAGTCTAGAAATGGGCTAAACCAAAAAAGTAGCCTCTTTTTTGAGGCTCTAGATAGGAATGATTTTTAGTTGTTTTTTCAAAGTTGAGAAAAAAATTTTATCAGAAAATTGTCTGACAAGTAAAGCCCAGCATGAACACAAATAAACAAATTGCTAATGGCAATTTTGATTTTGAGCAAGGCAAACAGATGAAAGCACAGAGACGGATGAACGTTCATAGTGCAAAAGAAGAAAGGACAAATGTCTTTTTTTAGTCACATATGCTTTCTGGCGGCGCTTTGTGAGGGAGCCCCGTGTTGAGATAACGGATAACGAGGCACCAGCTTCAATAAGCCCATCAAAACCATGAGTTGTGCTGCTTCACAAGGGAAAACAGGTCTAGACAATAATAACAGTATAAAGCAGGAGAACGGGGAAGCTGGAGCCTATTTTATTGCTGAGCTTGTGCGCCTTTCAGCAGGAGTTTGACTGATAAAAGGCACATTTAAAAGTATGAGGGGCGTGTAAAGATAATGGAAAGACTTGTCTAAGAGGTAGTGTGACAAAGACTACAAGAGAGGAGATAAGGTAAAACCACCTCAAGAGGAGAGCTCACACCTGACATTCATGTGCACAGAATTAACTTTAAGACTAGTTTATAGTCATTTTCATTGTGTGTGTGTGTGTGTGTGTGTGTCAGTGTTTTTGCAACAGAAAATGCTCAAAAATCCCATGTTCTGTCACAGTGTCCGGCTGCTGCCAATGGAGCAAGTCCAGGATTTGTCTCTTGGTGGCATCGTGGATCAGATTCTTGGCTGGATTGTTTTTAGCTTTGGGTGAGACGAGTTAATGCTCAAAAATCTAAACTGAGCTTTTCCACATTTGCATTCACCGACTCATAGGATCTGATGTAACTATCTAATTATGATGCGCCTCTTTGTTGAAGCGTGACTGAGAGGAGGTGTGTGACAGCTGGTTATGTTCCTCCTTCACAACAGCTTCAACACTGAGCAGACCTACTGCATTCTACTCCTTACTCACATATGCTGCACAGACACTGCGCTCCACAGCTCCCGAATTCCTCATTGCAATATTTCAATCTAAACTTCACTCTCTGTCTCGACAGTTGGGTATTGGCTCACACTCAAGGCTTGAAATGGCTGCATGTGACCTGTGTTTCTAGGGCAGATTTTCCATCTAAAAAAAAAGAGGGGAGAGACATGACAGAATGAGCAAGGGGTTAAGGCGTGGCAGACAGAAAAGGAGACAGACAGGCAAAGATCCAGGCGCAGGCGGTAAATCCAGAGGGAGCTTCACTGACAGTGGATGAAGGAGGAAGCTTTGTAGACAGATGTAGCTCTGAGTGCGTAAGCAACAACGCCTAGGAGGGGCGTGTTGTTGCAGCGTCGTGATGCTGCATGTTTTTGGAGAGTGGGTTGGATAGAGGGGATTACTGGATCCGAGCGTTGGCTCTCTTGTCAGGTGGGCAGCATGGTCCCCCTGTTTTGATCGGTGGACCGTGAACAGAGCGGCCGCAGTGAAGTGCCATGAGTATATGGGCGTTGCGATGTTGACGCTTGGACACACAGACAGCCGACTGACTCAGTTTTGGATGGGAGCCTCATGTGACCAGCTTTATAAATGTTGATTGAGTCGTTGAAGGATTACAGGTGCTGAACAGCCTGGTGTTTATTGTTTACTCAGAGAGAGAGAGGGCGAGGGAGAGAAGTGCAAAGTAGTTACACAATGCCTCAGAAAAGCCTCTATCATCCATGCATTTTCAGATTATTTCAAGAAATGATCCATGCAACACAATCTAGAAAAAAATATGAATATATTACTAACTATAGCAAAATCTAATGTAATCTAAAGGCTAAAACTTGCCTCTCTGGACTGCAGGCAAAGGACATGAGTTGTTCACGCAACCCTTTCTTTTATACTTGTATGTGCAATTGCGTGATGTTTATATCTTTTATTTCTCTGTTTTGCACCTGCCCCTCAAAAGGAGTTGGATCACCCAGTCAGCTTGCTTGACGTGCAGGTGTGAGCAGCTCAACCGAAATTCTAGGGAAAAAAAGTCTGTATTGTGCGTTTTTGCAAACCACAGATACATGGCATTTGAACATAATTTTGTAGTGAATATGTTGAAACTTAATGTCTCTCAGATTTGGGCACAAAAATCACTTGGTTAAGTTAGGAAAGGATCATGCTTTGGCTTAAAACACCAACGTTTGGTGGCCACAAAAGCCACTGGAAAAGCAGGGACGGGCCGATGAAAAACACCAAGGTACGCTGGCTCAAACACTGCTGGGAAACATGGCGAGTTGTTGGTTCAGAACAGTGGTCTGCAGTGGTCTCCAGCCATCCACCATCCCCTCCACCTCCCTGTGACAGAAGTCAGCTTATATATTATTTCACTTTAGAAATGTTTATATAATGCATATGAAATGTACAAATGTAATGTGCACATTTTCTTCTGGTGAATGGCCTGCACAACAACAGCCGAGTTTTTTAGGGCCACAGGGCACCCAATGGCTCCTATGAACAGTGCATTTTACAAGCACCTCCTGCAAGAGTACAAGACTCAGTCCTGTCACTTCTACTGTACATTGTAAATTTTGAATTCGAACAGATGGTTAGAGATTTAATTTTAATTCACCCCCAAGTTTAAATGGAAGTTTGAAAAAAAAAGACAGTCCAGACAGACAATATTTAATAAACTGGAAACTGAGTATAAATGTCATCCCATTTTTGTTAGAGACCGAAACTCAAGACGCCTCTTCTACCTCTCCTCTTCTTTACCTAGTCATGTGTGACTGTGAGAGAAGGAGGAAGAGCTAAGAATAGAGAAAAGGGGGCCCAATGCTGTGATGCCGCCTCTACCCACGTTGCTCAGCCTCTCGGTGTGTCGTTCTGTTGGTGAAGTCAGCAGGCATCCAACCAGTTTTCGTTGATATCTGTTAATGCGGGCTCTGCTGTAACTGAACACAATGCAAACTGTCGCTTTTGCTATATAAGTCACTTTATTTTCCACTGATGCAGAGATGGAGCCACAGATCTGTTTTTCACCCTTTATATGTTCACTAATAACATGATCAGAATGTCTGGGCTGGCACATGCAGAAATTTCATCAGAAACTGTCACTTTTTCATGCCATGCCAAAGGGAGGCCTTTGAAGCTTCTCCACTGACAGACAAGGAAGAGAGACAGAGATTTTTTTCAAATAATTTTTCAGACAAATAAAAGAGACCGATAGAACAAAAGACAAGATCTACTGGCTGAGAAAAGGGTCGAGGTGCAGAGATGAGAGGAGCTGATGGAGGGTTTGATAGCTGAAAAAGACTGAGCAACATTTGATAATACTGTCCTCAAAAGGCGCACAAGAGACAGACATCAGGACTTGCAAGAAATCATGTCATGCAGATGGCTTTGCTTAGAGGGGATGATAAGATGATAATATTGTTTTCAAAGACAGACAGGGAAGTGCTGAAACAACAGAATGTTTAATTGAACCTGAGGAAGAAACGCGCCTGTGATGGTAATCATCAACAGAGTAAGATTACTTTAATGAGG